TTTTTTTCAAATCAAAATAGTGCAAAAGCACATGTCGAAAAAACACTTTATCGCGTTCCATTTTTCACAAAGCAAAAGAAATTGTTGTTTAGGAAAATAATTGTGTATGCTGACTGAATGTTATCGAGAAATGTCGAAATTAATCACAAACTACCTGTTTCGTTAGTAATGACTACTAGAACTGTTTGCATTGCCATCTAACATTTGCGGGCGGAAACTAAGTTAAGGTCCTAATATATATATATATATATATATATATATATATATATATATATATATATATGTCTTTATATTTTTTATACTTTTTAGTTTATATTTTTTAAGTTAATATATCTATTTTTTAATTTATAAAATACATTTTTATTAATCAGAATTTTACTAGCGTTAGCTTCGATGTACTTTTATCGCAGTAGAAGAACTGATTTACACAAATATTACAATATTAGCATATCGGAGAATCGAGTTGAATTCGATTCAGTTCAATAGGAACGTTATTTAAAATATTTTTGACGATATTTTTGTCAATTATTATTTGCACGTTATATTTTATTGAAAGCAATATCCTATAATTCACTGGACACAATCGATAAGAAAAGGATCGTAAAGCAGATGAAAGAAATTCTCGATTAGTCACCGGCAAATGGAGCAAAGTAATTTGTTTATCGCATCGCGCCGTCACGTCACGTTTCTGCAATTAATCGTCCAATCGATCAATTTGTAACGTGCGCGGAAAAAAGTGTCCTGATATCTTCGTTAATTAATGCCTTCTATCGACGCTTCATGATCAAAAACGATCACCCCGTCGTTTAATTCACGTTCTCTCTGTGGAAAACCCGACTTTACATTTATCTCAGAGTCCCCACTTTTGCTCTTTTAAGAAATAGTTTCTCTAACTCTAATTATGGGAGCATAATTACGGTGAGGTATTCAATATTGGATATGAAAAGAAAGTTAGAAAAAAAATGCGACTAAATGAAGTCCTGAAGTTTGATCTTAAGGAAAGTTTCATATTGAGAAGTATCTAATAACGATTAAATTAATTATTGATGCTTACGCGCGCATGAGGTTCATAGATCTCTAATAAAAATTCTTCATTACTCTCTCTCCCTCTCTCTCTAAATATTTAATCGTAAAAGTCGATCAAGCGAGTTTCTTTCAACTTGATATCAAACTCTGAGATCCACCCGTGGGACGCGAATCAGTGAGCGAGAAGAGAGGAGAGAAAACGACACCGTGGAATTCACGGTATTCACTCGAGGTATTATAAATGTCCGGCGAATCAACGAAGAAAGAGGAGAAAGGGAGAGAGAGAGAGAGAAAAAGAGACAATTCATTATCTCGGTCTGTCGACAAATTAAGAATGCCATTAATATGCGACACATCAATGTTACCGCTGCAGCATCTGGTTGCTTCGGGGACGACCTCTTTTTCTGCGGTATCGATTCGTTCTCTCTTCGTGGTTGTGAATAATGCAACGTAGCCGATATCCACAGCAATCCGATGACGCTCCGTGATCGTGAAAAATTGTCGAGGATGCCGAGGATCCCTCGGACCACTCAGGCGAACATGACGTATTCCGAATATTTAGATAACGGTGACGTCGGGTCGGTGGTAGCGGTAGCGGTGGTGGTGGCGGTGGTGATGTCGGATCTGTTGCAACATCGTCGATCTCCCTCCTTGATATTTCACGACGAAAGAAGAAAAAACAGTATTAGTTTCCGATAGTCGATTATATCGTAACTAACACTTGGCGCGATCCTTTCCAATTACTCAAACTAACTTCACGCTTCATGTTTCTTATTAGAGGATTACTCCTCTCTGCTTCTCGATGTGTGTGCGTACTTAGTGTGGAAGAGAAATTGCGACACGTTTTCTTTTTCTTTTTTCTTTTTTCAATGAGTTTTGCAATGTATCCGTATCCATTAGCAAAATGTGTTTTCCAACTTCTCAGAAGATAAATTTTCCTATCGGACAGCAGATGCATTTCTAAAATACATCGAGAGTAAGTGTCGCAATCTTTCTGCCGCCGACCGCGTGACGCTTCCTTTCTGAGCTCTCTCGCTTCCCTCGCACTTTTACAACTTCTACATTTCTTTGTTTCTTTTTTTATAATAATCAATAATTATCTCCACGTCGTTCCAACAATCGCGTCGTTATTCTTCCGTCCGCACGCTGTTCCGGCGTCCATCACGTCCGAGAAGCACACGCGATAAATTTCACCCTATTCCACGCGCTTGCACACGATGTGGCCGTAAAGTTTTAGGAGTAGGGTCATATAAAATTGAGACCGTGAGAGAAACGTTTATTTACGTGTTCAATTATTCACCGTTAGAGGTCCGTTCGATGTCACGACTCTATTAGACCATACGACTCGCACGGTTTCTGCGGGCGGTGATAAAAGTTTTTCTCTGTTCGATCTCCCTCGATCGCCTCGTCAGAAGCTCGTCCGAAGGACGTCAGAACAAGCGCGGATCGATACGATTTCTATTACAATTACTGTGAAGAAGATCAAGATTGCTCAGGAGTCGCGTCCGACTCACCGAATTCTCGCGTGAGCTCTCGTGGATTACTTCGCTCTCGCGCAATCATCGTCCAGGTGTGCTCGCGGACGGGCTAATTTATCTTGGCGTGGCTGTCGGACGCACGCTGCGCGCCCGGAAACGCTCGAGGGAATGATGGCGCGAACGCGGCGGCATACTGATCAAGGAGAGCACTTGCTTTCGCACTTTCTAGAAAACGCCAGTCGGTGGTGCTGGACCAACGGGACATGGGACAATTACTCCAACTATTCTCTATGCCGCGACGTGCGGCTGCCGGCGATCGAGGGCGGGGTGGAAATCACGACGATGCTGTACTTCATCGGCTACAGCCTCTCTCTACTCACCCTGGTAGTGGCGGTTTGCATATTCATCTATTACAAGTGAGTGAAATCTCTCTTGAACAAACCTCTCCTCTCTTTAGGCGATAAATATCAACGGCTTGTCATGTCAAATGCAAAGGAAGGAAATAGCTGGTAAAAGAGCTCTTCCTCTTACCACATTGAGAAAAAAGCATCAAAGAAATAGTAAGCATTTATTTGGTGGGCACACTATATAATAACAGATTTACTGATACCAATATAAAATATTTTCCAAGTAAGAAAGATAATATAGGCTTTCTTAGAAACTTAAGGAAACCTTAGGTTTTCATGGAAAAGCAATTGTATTTAAATAAAAGAATGTAGATTTAAGTGAATATGTACTCACCGAAGAAACAGTTACTATTCTTTAAATACTTTTCCTCTTTCAGTGTAGCTTTTTCCTCTCTTTGCTTTTTATTAAATAGCGGAGTCTTATTCTTTTTATATCCGTCGTATTCTCTGACTAGTTCGCGCGAAAATGAAGGAACTTTTCGCATTGTTCGATTCGTTACGGTGAGAGTTTCTTTTGCAGGGAGTTACGGTGCCTTAGAAACAACATACACACGAATCTAATGCTCACATACATTCTGGCTGACCTGACGTGGATGTTAACCACTGTGATGCAGGTGAGAGAATGTGCTGAAGCATTTCAACTGTTACATAACGTATCGGTTCAATATTGACGTTTTCATACTTCGTACCGGAGCAACCTAATAGTTACATTTCTTGCGTACGCACACTTACGTACATATACATTATGTTACAGTAACATTGTTGAGGATATAAAACCGGTAATATGTCGCTTCTTATACAGCAAATACATATATATAAGCTCCACGGGTCTGCAATATGCCCGTAAATAAATCGTGCATTGTGTTAACAACATGTTGATTTCCTTTGATTGCACAAAGACTTAACTCTGACGGTTGAAGTTAGAAAGATACACTAGAAAGTAATTCGGGACACATGTATGTTTTATCTCGTTTTATTGAGTCTTTATGAGTCGTACGAACGAGTTTTCAAGTGTAATTAATTGTACTTTACCCTGATTTTAATGAGACTTGATGATATCATAGTGATCGTCACGATATTCAACTTTTTAATTATTAATTAACGTAACTCCATGAAGACTGTGATTATAAATCGTGCAAGAAAATATTAAATACTTGCAAAAGTTCATCGGATTGTTAGCTATATTTCTGTTATAAATGATAACGAAACAATAGATGATAATAGTTTAAAGTTATCTTTTGTAAGCTCATTTTAAAACTCATCTTTTGAGTCAATGAAATTATTAACGACCCAACGAAGTTTTATAAATCCGTAATACATCTTCTATAACGACCGTGAGCTGACGATCAGTTCAACATTTATTATCGAAAGGATGATAATATCCGATTTTACAAACGAATACGATCAAAGTTTAATTCTAGCCGGGCGCTAGCTGTTATTTTTTTACAGCACTGACTTATTTACAATAGAGAGAAAGTTTAAGTCCTTAAGGTTATTAATAATTTAGAGATAATTTCATAATTTTCTACCTGTTGCATCTAATAAGTCCATAATTCACTATTTATCATAAGCTTATTTTACAACTAATATAATTTGTTTAATTCTTATGCTATTTATTCTCTCTATTAGTCTTCCTCTTGAAATGAAAATAAAAAAAAATACCGCGAGCCAGGGATTAAAAAAAAGTGCATATCAATTAACTTATTTTAACGTATATTAATATAATTTTACTAAATGAAACTTTGATGTTCATTAGATTATTTTTACACAACGTATAAACGATTTTAATTTCCGCTGCGTTGCGAAATGCAGTATGAAAGGAAATATCGATAATATTGTCGATAAAATACAATATCCCTATACTAACGTATACAATAGCGCGATATACTATACCTTAATTAAAGAAAATCTCTCCTGTAATAAAATTATTACGATTGTATCATACAATATTACAATGTAATATTTTTATATTGTGAATGCCGAACAAACTAAAATATTATACGTTATTATAGAAAAGAAATTAAGTTGCTAGAAAGGAAATAAAATTCGAAATTGGAAAATGGAAGTAGAACTAGAAACAAAAATGGACATTAAAACGAGCTGTTCAATTATATGTATATTATTTATGTCTGTACATATATAGATATTTTTTATCAGGAAATTAGTTTCCATTACGCAGAACTGAGACATTTTAATTTCGATTAATTTTTTGTTACATTAATAGACCATATCTAATATATTTATGTATTATATATATATATATATATATATATATATATATATATATTTATATATTTATAATATATAAATATATTAGATATGATCTATTAATGATATTTTGCTATATAATATTCATTTTAATTTCTCGAATAAAATAATCATAATATTTTCAGATAACGTATTAAATATAAATCCATAATATAATATCCGCTGCATATTAAAACAGTTAATATCGCAGATATTTTACATGTGCGTTCTATCACATTGCAAACTGCATTTTGTTGTTAAAGTATTGGTCATAATCGCATTATCTGCGATTTCTCATTTACTCGTAGCAAATATTAATTATATGAGTGTTCTTGCACGGGATTAAATCACAAAATATCTCGACGCGTACGCCAGCGTTAATGATATACCGACTTTGCCTTCGAAATCCCTTTCTTCCAATTCACGTTTCTATTATTAACCATTCGGTGCAATACGCACCACGCGCTGCACAAAATTACTTTAAATTTAATGAAACGTCGCTTGTACGGTACATCACGCTGCAATATTAATTCCATTACGCTTTGACTGCTAAAATTAGTTTGCCATGAAGAGTGAAGGCGTGAGAGGGAGAAGTAAAAAGAACGAGTGGCGCGTTATTCTTTATTAATGAACATCAAAGAGCGAGAGAAAGAAAGAAATGGATAGATAGAGAAATGGGTAGATAGAGAGAGGAAAGCAGAGAGACGGAAAGAGAGAGAGAGAGAGAGGTAAGAGCAAAATGGTAAAAAGCTTTTCCACCTGTCAGATCAATTTGCCGCGCGTGTCACTGACAAATATCATGGTTATCCGCACAGCACCCGACTGCAGGATGCACAGGATCTGTAATGCGTTTTCACCGCACTAGAGATAATCCTCGAGGCGACTTAACAGACACCTATAGAAAACTAATTACGGCGATTATGCTTTTGAATAGCACCGCGCGATATACGTTTATTCCGCCCATAATAATGTAATAATAATAATAGTAAATGACTATCGATATCCTTCACGTAACTATTTAAAATGACTCCGGAAATTGTTAGTCAGCATTTTTTTTCACTTTACTTTGCGACTAATTAGCCACGATTAATTAGGCGTCGTTGATCTCGTGGAATTTTTTTGACAGGATTGAAAGAGATTTATTATATATACATAACGTAAAATGCACGAGGCTTCGTTTTCATATTTTACTGTTAGTTACACAATAATGTTCCATTAATATTTCATATTCCATTTATATTTTATGAAAAATTGGTCAACTAATTACAAATCGTTCTTCTTCTCTTTTTTGTCACGTTTTTTACACGGTTTTTACACGGCTCTTCTCTAGGTGTCCATGCAAACGGATATACCGACTTGCGTGACGCTCTTCTCCCTCCTTCATTACTTCCAACTGACGAACTTTTTCTGGATGTTCGTCGAGGGTGAGTTTAATCCCGTTAATTCCGCAAATTTCGCGCGTGACATCTCTTGTGTCCGAGAGACGTGTGCGAGAGACGCGAACATAGTTCACTTCCGCTAATAGAAGTTCGCCGATCGATTGTACATTTTCCTGCACTGACTACTTGATTCTCGTAGGTCTGTACCTGTATCTGCTGGTCGTGAAAACGTTCACCGGCGATAATATCAAGCTGAAGCTCTGCCTGGTAATCGGTTGGGGTGAGTGTTCGTTCGTCATCATTAATAATTATCTCGGAGTTTGTGAATAATTCGAAATAGTTGCCAATCGCGCGACAGGACTTGGCCGGACGAACGAGAGAAGCGGGAGAAATTAGAAAATTTCATTTAATAAATGAATATATAGGATGGAATAGATTCTTCCTTAACAAAATATTTCAATGTTTCCTTTCCGTTAACGATTGGTCAAAGTTTCTTAATCCTAAGAGCGAGGAACGTAAAAAGAGTACTTTTTCCTGTATCTCTTTAAAATTAAATTCTTAATATATCTTTTTAAATTAAATTTTAAATTAAGTTCGCTGTTCTCCAGAAGGAGCTTCGAACGCCTATAAAGATATTAAAATTTCCCGCTTTATCTCACGTCTCACGCTGTGTAACTGATAGACGTTCATACAGTGCTCGTACAGGGTAGACGAGAAAATCACATTGCCCGACGAGAAATCCAAACTGATAAATAAATAAATATAAATCCAGGTGCACCTGTGCTCGTAATAGGCGCGTGGGGAATCGCCAAGTCGCTAGATCAGAACGTCATGAATCAGGCCAACCAGGTATGAATATAAACGAGTGCAGCGTCTTCTCGGACACACGTATCCGACAGCGAATTTCCGTCTGATGTTCCGCGAGAAATCTTTCATTTCCCGATAGCGACGACGCGTCGAATCCGTTAGCGCCGACGACACCGAAAGTGCCGATCAAAATTTCAGGCCACGTTGGCCTGTTAACGCCACGTCCAAAGTACATGATAGAGATTGAGACGCACACGTGGAGCGTGTGTAACGCCCACGTGGTGAACGCGTCCGGAACGTGTCTCCGTAAACGCGGGAACGGGTTGCACGTCGATAAACATCATCACACGCGACGTGTACGTTCTGGATGTTTGACGCGAAATCGTTTGGTCTTTATTACTATCACATAAAAAAGTTCTTTATTGGATCGCATCCACTCTCCTCTTTATCACGAAAGGTTTCGGCAAAGGCGAAAATAGTCTATCGATTGTGGCTGCGAACCACTAGAAACTCATTAAAGCCATCGCCGTTACAGAATAAAGGAACGAGCGTTCCTTTATTCTGTAACGGCGATGGCAGCTCGGTAAACCACAGACTCTTTGAGCCGATTATTTTGAAACTCATCCGAGTCAAAAAATAAAAAATGCGCGCGAAACATAGGTAAATAAACATAGGTAACTGCGATGTATATATACGTGTACAGTCGCGGACAATAAAATTGACTGGTTTCAACTTCACGCGATTCAGAGTCTCCTTATCTCACTTCCAGTTAGGACCAGGGTTGGAAAGTAATTCGTTACTTGTGACGAAGTTACAGTTACAGTCACATTTTTTCGGCAACTGTAACTTAATTACTTTTTTCCTACCTATAACTGTAACTTAACTTAGTTACTTATTTTTAGAAACTTAAAACTTTTTTAACAGTTACTTTAATAGTTACTTGGGAAACATAAAATAAAATTAAAATTATATAGTAATCGTATATTAATTTAATAAACTTATCAACGTGAAGAATATCTCTTTATTTTACTTCAGCTTACAATATCCCAGGAAGTTCTTAGTTTTTACCTTATTTTACATTTTTCCTACATCCACTTTTTTTTCCTTTTTGCTACTTATTCTATTTTTTCTTATCCTACTCCTTTCCTTTTTTACCCTTTTACCTTTTCTAAATATTTTTTATTCTGTACTTGGGAAATTCCATCCTTTGGATTTCTTTATCCTTGGATTTCTTATCCTATACAAAATTTATCAACGTATTTATGGAGCATGTGATTAAATTCTTTTATCTCTACAAGATCATATTATCTGTCATTAAATTTTTATTATATTAAGTATAAATTTAAAATTTATTAAGTGGATAGATTAATTAATATAATAGATATTAATTATAAAATTCAATTCTTACATTTTAGTAAAGCTTAAAATGTAAGATTTTTGTATTTACAATAATAATTTACAATTATTTCAAGAAAGTGACTTAAAAGTAACGACTCGTTGACTTTTTGAGTAACTGTAACCGTAACTAGTTACTTTTCATAGCCAGTAACTTGTAACTGTAACTAGTTACACTTTCACCAAAGAAAACTGTAACTGTAACTGTAGTTACTTTTAAAGAGTAACTTTCCCAACCCTGGTTACGACGTACTTAGAAACTGAATCGCGTGAAGTTGAAACCAGTCAACCTTATTGCCCGCGTCTGTACATACGTATGTATACGTCTATACACGGTGCGAAAGAAAAGTTGGAGATATATTCGTTCATGGGAGTGGAAAATGCAAAACGTATTCGGTAATACCGGTGTCGGGGCATACCGCGCGCTGGATTGAAAAGTGTTTAATGAACGTTGCAGCGCTTATAAAGTTGTTGTTGTCTCGATTTAATCCCTACCTGCAAACTCCCATCGATATTGCATGACTGAGCTGTAATTATAGACACGATCGTAAACACCGGCAGGAAGTGGCGCTCTGGAGACACTGTCCCTGGATGATCCCGCATCCGTACGACTGGTTTTATCAAGCGACCGCTATAATAGTTTTAGCAGTCAACGTTATATTTCTCTTCATGATTATGTGGGTGAGTAACCGGTCTTTGACATCGAGACTTCAAAGTCGTATCAATTTTCAATATTCGCGTATCTCTCGGATACTATCTGGCTATCCAAGTATCTCAAATATATTATCCGGATATTTCTTAGATTATTCTTAGAGTGTTGTTTCTCTTTTTACTTATTCTTCCATTTATTCTATGTATAAACGTAAAAAAAATGTATATATATGTACAAAATGTCTAGCAGTGTTCAGTTTTCGTTCATCTTATTTCAATATATTTTTATACGCGGATTTTAATAAAAAAAATACAAATATAAAGAAGAACGTGATTCTATTAAAAAAATTGTTTTGTTTCAGTCGGGTATCCGGATAATATTTGCAAGTCTGGATACTTGGGTACGGAAAAAAAGGTTTGATTAAACAAATTTCTGGTGAAACATGGATGAACCAGAAATCCCGCTTGAAGTTACAAGAATTCTGTTCTAGTCAACTACATGGAAAAAAAAATTTGGCTGAATTAACCAAATATCTGGTCGAATATGAACTATCCAGAAATTCTGTTTAAGTTAACAAGATTTTTGGTAGACTAACCAAACATGTCTGGTTATTTAACCAGACACGTCTTTTACCCTCTGGTTAAATAATCAGACATGTTTGGTTAGCCTACCAAAAACTTGTTAACTTAACTTGTTAACTTAAACTTAACCAGAATTGTTAACTTAATCAGAATTCGGGTTACTTCAATTGGAATTTCTGGATCGTTTAAATTCAACCAGATATTTGGTTGATTCAACCAAATCTTTTTTTTTCGTGCAGAAATCTTGTTGACAAACAGAATATTAGTAATTGGAATATTTCTGATTTGTTCACGAGATTGATGATTGATTTCACGAGAAATTTCGTTAATCCAACCAAACGTTTTTTCCGCGTGGAAAATACTTGCTTTATACTGACAGCACTACTTAAAATACGTGTCATCAACGGGCGTTATCGCATATTCTCGCGCCGGAGGAAAATCACGCTGACGATCGAATTAATCTTGTTTCTTCTTTTTGCGTAGGTGCTGATAACGAAGCTGTGGTCCGCCAACAACGTGGAGACACAGCAATATCGCAAAGCCAGTAAAGCTCTCTTGGTATTAATACCGTTGCTAGGAGTGACCTATGTGCTGGTCATAGCGGGACCTACCGAGGGACAAGTCGCGAATGCATTCTCCTATGCACGCGCGGTTCTTCTTTCTTCCCAGGTAAAACTAGATCGTTCGTTCAACGAAGTTTAATTTTCTTTCTCTTCTTTGTTTTAATTAAGGAACTTCATTGAGAGCTACCTAATTTAATTAAGCCTTGCCGTAGTATGCAACTATCCCACATAGCACAAAATAGTCTGAATATTCTTATGAAATACAAATGTTTTTAATTCTAGAATATTCCAATCGAATATTCTATGAAAATATAATATTGTAAATAGACATTCATATATATTTATAATATTAAAGAATGTTCTTAGAACATAAACAAGGTTTGTTTACCGCGCATGTGCAATGTATTCATGTAACTGAATAGTTTCCAAATATTCCAAAGTAATAATACGTGTTTATTATAATTTAGTAATGAAACTTATCTACGAAATGAAATATTAAAATTATTCTTTTACAATTGTAAAAGCAAAATTAATGTTTAACGTATATTTTGTAAATATTCTATGCACTATTATAGAATATTTTTAGTTGATCATTCAGATATATTATGAATATACTGTAAACATATAACAGTGTTTTTGGTATATTCATAGAATGTGGAATTATTTACAAATAATATTTATAAAACATTCGTGGAATATTCCGGTGCTAAACGGAGTTACATATCGTGTAGTGAATAATAAACATTACATAACGAACAATATAACATTCTTGTTTTGGTCAATAAATGACTGTTATATGTATGCACTTTTTCTGTTGTCGCGCAAAGTGCATGTTTATACACACAATGTACACAATGTATTAAAATATAAATACTTTGTGATATTTGAAAATTTATTCAGCGCTTTAGAATTCAACACGTTATTTTTCGTGACCGGTCAACCGTCGATGAGTTTCCTCGTCACGATGGTTAAAACATAAATAAAATTCCTGTTTTATTATTTACCAGTCCATATCCGATATATCTATATGCAAACGCATGAAGTCTTGGATTGACATAAACAGACCCATTGTTATAAATAAGCGCATTAAATTATTAAAAAATTGTTTGAGATTACATGTCCATCTGGGATACTTGTCAAATTATTGTTCTTATACGATTCCTGTCTACGTTTGATTTCTTTTTAATACTCATTTAGTGGTTTTTGCTTGATGGAGCACTTTTATTATTAGCACTATTATTTGGAGCAGAATCGCGCGCACGAACTGTTAATCAAATTCTAAAACGACGAGAATTCTTTTTCACGCGAAATAGGAAAGAGTGCCTGATAGAAAATAAAAATTTTCCTGAAAACTGAAAACATCGAATAATTCTTTCTTCTTCTCACTTTCAGGGATTCTTCGTGGCGTTGTTTTATTGTTTCCTCAATACGGAGGTGCAGAATGCTCTGAAGCACCATTTCGCGCGATGGAGCACCGCGCGAAATCTCGGCACCGGCCGGAGGTATTATAACAATTGGTCGCCTCGCTCGAGAACGGAGAGCATAAGGTATTTCTCCTTTCACACGTACGTCTTGACGGAAATAATTTCCAGATAAATGTAAGCTATTAAGGGTGATACGAGTCGGCACGAACAGATGTTCTCGCGTAATATTTTGTCATTTCTGTTCGCAGTTGCGAAATGTTCTCCAAACCTTACTCTGGCTCCTGTTCGTTCTTCGAGGCGGTAACTGACGTAGAAGTAGAAGCTGGGGGTTGAAACGTTCCGCGACTGATGAATAATTCGAAAGAGTGTTACACCAGACCATCTATGCCTGCCGGCTCATATTGGCTCATAGCTTGCATTTAATTAGATCTTTCTGAAATTTAATCATTTTATATTTCATTCTTGGTACGGCATTAGTATTAAAGAATTAATGCATTTTGTTAAAATAAAAGAAATAGTAAATTTTCTCTTTGTTTCTTGAAAGACCTTTAAGAAAGAATAAAATCAACAATATTTACAAGTCAGTTGGAATTGTTCGACAAAGAAATTCAAAAATTAAGATTGTGTCTAGTAGATTCTGATGATATACCGAGGAGATTGATTTCTACACTTTTGCACATAGAGAGGTCAATTACAGGTTGTATTGCCAACCATCAAATCCGTATCGTAAACGAGAATCCACTGTGAGCGAAACAACCACCACGACAGTGATCGGTCCGAATTCCACCACGACGTTCCTCGATAAATCCAAAAAAGTCATCTCGGAAGACCTTAACGAGTGAGACAGGAATTGCGTGAGAGGAATTCCGACGATGGGCGAGCCTCGTCGTTACGGATTGCTTCATCGATCAACCGCGTTCTCGAGGAGATTCCGATAACTTTCGCACCTCAACACAAGAGTTTTTTTTCTAAAGGTATTTTCAATATTAAAAATCTAAAAATTTTCAACCACGTATATATCTATATAAAAATTATTATTGAAACCGTCGCTCTCGAAGAGTCGATAGAAATCGTACAAAGTCGTACAAAGAGGTTTGCCGATAAAAGAAATTAGCGAGATAAGTGCCATCTAAATCTTTAAAAAATACGCTAGTTCCTTGATTCAATTTTGAGATTTAAAACTCAGTTTGAATATAGTTTTAATCGTAACTGATTTTAGTTTATTTACTTTAATAGTTTAACTTAATAGTGTTGATAATTACCCATTTTGTCGAGTTTTACGAAGCTTTACAACGTGACAGCATTTAACTTAGACAGTAAAAATTATTACGGTGATGTAATATCTTGCGCGTTTCGAGATTCTCCATATCTTTTTATTCTTCGAAAATATAGTTGAAAGGAATCATTGGGTTTGGGATAATTTACAATTATCGAGGGTGGAATCATGTCTGAGATTCGTACAAAGACAACATTAGGCAATCGCGTTCATATATCGACCGAAATTTCTCGATAAATTGTCAATTTTTTTCTCCATTGCAAATGTTAACAGTAATACTTTCTATCAGGAAAAGACCAAAATCGTCGATAAAGGGAACATTGTACATTAGAGCGAACTGTTGAAAACAGTATAATATATAGCGCATCTGTGTAATGATTAACGATTAATAATCAGCATTCTCAATGATCGGAATTAAGTTCTACAATAGAATGTTGATTGTTAATTTAGTCCGATAAGTATCGCGATGTGTGCGCTACTTTTTTGCCGGAAAATCACAATTATATCATCGAAATTTTGCTCGTTCGGCTTTATTATCGATTACCTAAATAAAACTTATCAGGTGTAGAGGAACGTAAACAAATTATTGGAGAAAAATGATAAAAATGACAGATATATATAATAACAGTATAATTTTGATATAAACTAGGAATCTCCTTACATGTCTTACATGTCCATGGATCAATCTTTATAGGGAAATTAACGACCGAATAATCGGCGTTTAACGTAGGATATAATGTATATTATAGTATATTGATAAAGTAAGCATTATCCGTAAATCGCAATATATACGACATTGTCTATTTATTATTACACTGGTTTATAACAATTCTATCACTGTTTCTCAAGTGTACATATGTACAGTTACATACATATCGTA